CCCTCGTCCTGGACTGCTGCTTATCTTCTTCTTCTTTTTTTTTTGTCAAAAACATGGGTCTTATCTAGAAAAACGTTTAAAATAATTTTTTTCCATATACTTATATCATATTTTATAAATTAAAATTAAAACATTATTTATAAATTACTCTAAACAAGCCTATTATAACTTAAGAAGCCGGATGATACTTATAAGTTAAAAAGTTACTCCTCCGATCCTAATTATAAGACCCAATTGACTTATTTAAGGAGATTAAGGAAGTAAGTTAAGTTGGTTATTTATAATAAATAAATATTGTCATTCCTAAAATATCCTTGCTAATTAAGTATATGGGCTAAAACTATTATTATTAGAAGGATTATCTTGAAAAAAAATGTATAAATATAAGAGACAAAATAGATTGGGATCTTATAATTAGAACCAAATAAAAAGTCAAATGGGGTCTTATAATAAGGATCGGAGGAGTATAATACAATCTACATAAATAATTAGTAAAAAAACAAAAGAGTACTACTCGAATATTTAATATAAATTATTGGCAGCATTTTTCGCATATAAAAAAATATATTAAATTGATAAGATTTTTTAATTTTATTCTTATTAAAATTTTTTATATTTATAAATCATTCTCACATCACTTTTATTTTTCTCTCTTTCAGCAAGAATTAAATAAAAATAAAAATTAAAAAAATAGATATATTATAAGTGACTTACGTTCACCACAAAAACTTTTCTTTTTTCTCTATAAATGAATTATATTAAGGATCAGGAATTGTTTAACGTTTTACCATGAAAATTAGTTAAAAAAAATCAATAAGTAATGTAAATTTAGTAAATTATTACGAGATTTTTCTTTTCCCCCTCTAATTTTTATGTGATTGCATTATATTCAAAAAGAAAATTTTAATTTTTTTAATCCACAATCACACATTAATTATATATTAGAGCAGAAATAGATGTTAAAAATTATTGATTATCCATTAATATCATAAAAACATAATTAAAATGAGGTAAAAAAACATAATTAATTAGAGTAGTATGATATAAACACTACAATAAACTTCATGTGAAAAAAAAGTTTAAATAATATGACCCTTTTTTTTTTTTGACGTTTCTGTTTTCCAGGGACTGAACATACGACGAACAGAAGCAAAACGACACGTCGTGCCCATTCTTCTTTGATTTGACAAATCTCACATTATGGGCCCCACATATTTTAATAATAATCAAACTCCCCCCTGGTTTTATTTTCAACAACACTTGATGGTGGATAATTTAAAACATGAATTAGATTGTTAAGCGTAATTACAAAATAATATATTTTTATATAAATTTTATCATTTATTGCTTGGGAATTATTATATAATCGACCCCTATTACATCAACTCCCTCTGATAATAATTGTATAAATTAAATATATTAAGATTCGTATATCTTTGACGAAAAATAAAAGAGATTCGTATATCATTCGAACGAATGTTTTAATTTCTAATTATTTTTAAATATTATTTCCTTAATTTTTTAATCAGAAGTTAATAATTAAAATACCATATAAGAGTGATAAAAACGTGAATGCACATGACTAATCAAAATGTATTTATATACTCTAAAACAATGCAATAACTTCTCTAATTTAGTACTTCCATATGCATGCTTATGATTAAACAGTATCAAGATTGTCTTTTAAAATTATCAATTATTATTGGATTGATTTAATAAACTTATTCGTATATTCTTTAGCTGGACCGAACACCATGAGTCATCCACTTCCATCACAACAAACTGAAAAAATAAAAATTATATGCAAAGAAAAAAGAAAAGAAATTTATCCAAATATAAAAAGAAAAGAAAATACAAATATTTATCCAAAATTTTTATGTGGAAAATCTCACTTAAAATCTGGTTTTGAACCCATAATTTGTCTCAATTTAAAACACCAAAGCACATCCGTACTTGCTTGGCACGTGCATTTCAAATACAATTCTCATTTAATATATCTTTGTTAATCAAACACTGTGAAAGTTTCTTCAAATTTTTGTTAATTTCTTTGTAAAATTTTTGGTGAATTCACACTGTAAAAAATATTCATTTTTTCAATCTATAAAATTTTTTCAATATTTAGTTTTTTTTTCAAATCTATATAATGAAATGCACACTAATTCAGAGATATTTATAGAGTAGTTTTCCCAACAAATTATTATCTCCAACACAGATCCATTTCAAATAATAATAAATAAATAAATAAACGAAACATCAATGGTTTCTTTGTAGAGCCCTGTGTGGCTATATAATCCTAACAAGTAGAAACCAATCCCATCAAGAGTTGAACAATATTATTGGTGCCACGTTCCATTAATAAAGTGCAGCTTGTGAAAAGTATTCCTAATTGCTTCACATAATTAAGTTAGGTCCATGGTGATGATATAACTATCAGCTTTGAAGGTCCATGTATTTATATTTTAAAAATTTAATATAACAATGACTTGAAATTAATCCATCAATCTATACTCTTTCATACGTTCCCACATGCAATGCCTAGCCATCTAATATTTAAATATACTCTCTCTAGTCGTTTTCATAAGATGCAAATTCAATAATTAAACTATGTATATAAAAAACTTATTAGGCGATAAATATGTAAGAAAACGTTATTTATTTTTCAAAAACACTCTTATTATTATCGAGAGTGAGTGAAAAATTGACCATTAATTAATGCAGTGTACTAATCATTAATTAAACGACTCAAATATATAAAAAAAATACTAAAATTTTTTAGACAGTATTAATATCTTTTATGAATAAAAACAAATTATTTTTATCAAAATTTTCTTATATGTGAAATCAGAAGGAGTGTTTGGTCATCAAAGCCAATAGCTGCCCCACACACACACATAATATCATGTCTTTCCGAATTCAAGTTGTTCCATTTTAATCTCATTATTCTTAATTCTTTGCCTTCAATCAAGCTAAGTAGTCGCTTTGTTGATTAGACATATGGATGCAGTTTTAGCAATTTTGTTTAAAAGATAATATAAATAAAGTTTAGCGTATATCATGGTGTCTTCCTCTGTGTTAACATTTTATTTGAGATGAGGCTAATAATTTTGTAAGATGGACTGTTTTTCTTGCCTTTAATAAGGTTACTATGCAATCAATATTTAGTTATTTACAACTACAATATATATATATATATATATAATTGAAGCGTAGTTAATTCTACGATTATGAAAATCATAAATTTTCAAAATAAATATATCTATTTATGAGATAAACAAAATAAATAAACAGATTAAGCGAAATTTTGAAAAAAATCATTAAAATTTTTATTAGTGAGAATAATCTAAATCAAAATATTGATATTTTGTGCGTACAAAATTTACAAAATACTGATACTTTCAATATATAAAATTTATTAAGCTATTCTCGCTAATTAATAAATTTTTTAATATGTAACTTTTCACTCAATTTTTCAAGGAATGGGTGGATAGATGGATAAATAATTAGATATACAACATAAATATTGTAAACTATCTTATTTAAATATATATGTTGATGCATACGTTTCTGTACTATTATCTGCATATTATATTTATTTATTTATTTATGAGATAGAACAAGCGCGAAGGCGCCTTCAGAATTATTCATAAAATATAGTTGTATCCCTTATCACTTGAAATGGAAGAGAAAATATTTTTTTAATTTTTAATATAAGTTAAATTTGTTAATATAGAATTGAACAATCTTGCGATGGCAGTTAGTTCAGATTATGAAAGTTCTGAAATTCGAAAACTCCTGTGTGGGAACGAAAAATACTATGCGAAAGTTATATTGTGTTCCGGGTCCGGCAATATAATATTCGACTTCGAATAATTTATACTAGTATTAAATAAAACAAATACATAAATAATCTAATAATACCTTGGAGGAGTTAACTATGGGGAGAATTTCCAATAACAAGTGAGTAGTTATTACCTTAAAACTTGTTATTGTGAGCTGCTTTATTATCACTTGAACTTTATTGTAATTATTTTCATTACTTGGAACTTTATAACAATTCTCCTTTAATTACGTGTTGTGGGCCTATATAATAATAATAGAAAATTATTATTATTATTATTATTTGTGATTAATATTAGCCATCAAAACTGATAAGAATGATATTTATTTTGTAAGGTGGAAAAGAAAATAGAAAGAAACTGAGCAAGTTGATGGGACGAATTGAATAGTATTGATCGACGCCACCTATATGAATTAATCTGAATATCATTATCCGCCAACTGTTTATCTTGTGATTTGAAAAAAAATTAGGGAAAAAAAGGAACTGCCAACTGTTATAACTGTTTGTAAATTTTATGAATTGAATGGATTGCAAAGAAATATTTAGTCATCCTTTTCATGATTTGGAATTTTTCATCCGGATACTGCACAATTGTCACTCTGCTGTCTCCATTTCAATTTCCATAAAGTTTGTATAGCCTTTTCCCCAGACAAATAAATAAATAGACCGAGCCACTTGTTGCAAAGTTTGAGTGCCATTTTGCTATAAAAGACCAGGCAAAATTGAAGAGAAAGAGTCCCTGTTTAAAAATTTTGATGTACAAAACCTTATATACATATATATCCCAAAAAAAAGAAGAGAAAAAGAAAAAGAGAAAGAGATTCACTTGTATACACACACATAGATGACAGAAATTTACAAAAAAAAAAAAAAAAAAGACTAGAGTGAAGGATGAGGATTCAAGAAACAACAAGAGCAGCGTTAATGATCAAGCAAAACTTGGGAAGGTCTTGCTTGGAAATTCTTCCTCCTCTGAAAGTTATGGCTTGAGGGTTATTAAAATTCTACGCCAAAAAAATTTTTTTTTGACCATTTATCGTCGAAACATTTTTTTTAGGGTTGAATTCAAATGAAGTCACATTAGTAGTCCATGAATGAAATTCTCCCTAAATATATTTTTGTAGAGATTTCTAATTAGCTTAAATGAACATAATAGGGCTTCTAATAAAAAATCAACTATAATATCGACACAGCTTACGAAAATGTTTAATTTTCCTTTCCATAAGGAGAACAAGACACCTTGGTGCAACTTGGAGATAACATCGCTTTGAAGTAATGGAAGTATTATGCCCAGTGGCTCCGGAGATGTTGAACAACTCCCTGATAAACTATAAAGTTCCAGATATTGATATATATGAAACACTAATTCCAGAAATACCAAGGTGATCCAAATATTCATGTAATTGGAACATTCAAAAACATATTTTGAGGTTAACCCTGGTAACTAGCTATTCTTTCATGAACCAATGTTCCATATCTCCACATCCTTAGAAAGTTTAGAACTGAGAGCTCTGCATCACAATTTATTAAAAACCTGATAAGAAAGGCCACGCTCCACCAAAAAAAGATCGAACTCAAGATAAACATGAGAGAATGATGTTATACCTAATGTGCCTTGGCTCACAAATCACATCTTCAGGTGCCTCAGGTCTTTTAGAACCGTCTAATGACGAACATTTTGGTGTAAATACGATGCCAGCGTTCTCTTGCATAAATAACCCAAAAGATTAAAGACAACATTACAGCTGCAGATATGATGACTAGTCCAACATAAATCCAAAGACTAAATTTCAGCAGATTGGGACAGTAATTGTTGCCGATGTTTCTGAATGTTTCCCGGACAAAAGTGCAGTCTGCCAAATTGATCAAGAATGGACTGTAATGGTACAAACCATAGCTCACATTGATAGCTGCCATCATTTGTGAGTATATGATAGGGGTCATCCTGCCGGGTGTGGTGCAAATGCCTGATGAAGAAACCTGGCAAGTGTAATTCTTCCACGTCTGCATAACAGATAATGGATGTCGTGCACAATAATGCATCAGCATGTAATTTGGATGGAAATGAGTAGACAAGGTGTTTTGATCCACAAAAACTGGTTTCATTTTGGAACAAAAAATGATATATCAACAATAAAAACGTAAAGCTTTATCACACTAAAGTTGTTTATTTGGGTTGAACAATATTATTGCGTTCTATCAATAGTAAATTTTTTTAGATATATCAATAAACAACAACAAAAGAAAGGTCCTAGCGAGCCAATGTCTGGCTAGGCTTTCCTGACCACAAGATTTCATATTTCGCATGAATTTCTTTAGAGCATTCCATAATTGGAGGATAAAAATTTCACATTTCAGTTACAAATAGTCTACCTTGGTAGCATTATGCAAGGTCACCTCCCCGGCCGCACACTGCCTGTGTGTGAGATTAGAATTGAATGGACTGCAAAGAAAAGGCATCGGGGGCCCCGATTGATTGTAATACAAAGGTCCCGCAGAAGATGGGAAATTCCTGTTTGTGACATTGGCGATGATGGAGTCTGCTATCACAACAAGTTGGTATGTCACTTCTTTGCTTCGGTATAAGGCTTCCTGGGCTGTTTCATGGTCCACGCAAGGAAGAATATCATCCAAGGCGGTATGAGCTGTAGGATTCTGAACCCACTCATCCATGGCAACACATGTATCTCCCACAACACTAGTGCAAATTTACAATTAACTTTCCCATAACATATATGCAGCATAAGTGAAAATAGCAGCCATGAACTTCATCAAATGATATGGAATGAACGTCCCCGCAATTGCTACGTGAATGAAATACTATACAAAGTCTTAAACACAATTCAGATAGAGCATTCAACAAATGATTTTTTGCTCTTCTTTTCCTCATGTTGACAGTTTTGTTTTGTTTGAAAGTAAAGCATGACTCTCCTATTTCTAAGAATTTACAGTTTGAACTCCAAACCTTCTTAGCAATAGAATCTGGAATGGCTATGTACTCAATATAACCTTCTTAACATGCTAATACAGAGAAGTTTCTATCTGTGATTACACATTAACTTCAACAAATGTGCTCATTTTCCTCTGTTTCTACCTTTCCATTCGTTGCTTCCTACTCCGCGTCTCTCCCCCTTTACCTACTACAGTCATACAACAAAATCCATGCTGCTTTCTCATTTCAGGTGCTATCCAGCGAACATTAGGCAACAGATCAATGTTAGTTTCTAGTTGATTAAGTCACGACTCAATGGAAACTCTAAAACAATATGACATCAGCAAGCACAGAAGCACATCCTAATCATCCAGCTGATTTCAAACTCCCATGATGGCCTTTGGCATGGAAATGGTTCTATGTCAGGATATATGTATGACAATAAGGCAACACAAGTTCAATATAATTGAATATTCCATGCAAACAAGAACTTACTTGTGAAGAAAAAGAAATACACCGCAGAGAATAAATGTGCCTGCAACTAGAATCCAGCCAACAATTACCAAGCTGCAGCAATAAGAAGTGCATCAGTTACTGACTGAGAATTTAAATAGAATATTATAACAATCGCAACTAAACAAACGAAAAGGATAAAACATGAAATATCTTGATGAGTAGAACTTACAAGTATACAAAACACTCCAGCCCACATAAGGAAAATACTGCAAAAGAAAAGGTTTCACGAACAAAAGCAAATGAGATAAGATTTTGCTAAACCTTCAGTATAGAGCAATAACACGAGAATATACAGGATGATGAAGAAACATACAGAATCCAAGAAATGCAAGAAAGAGCATAGCAGCAGCAACAATGATCAGAGACAATCTCCTACAGAAAATAACAGAATAACAGAGGATGATTGTAGGTGAGAGATATTGCAAACACTAGATTGAGATTATAGACTTGTACTTACATTCCATCAATGCCATTTCGTATACCCTTAGAATTCTGCTTTGTCTTACTAGAAAGTGTGGCAGCGGCAGTGTCTATTTTTGATTTAACATTGTTGATGTTCTTCTGAATATTTGGTGGCAAAAAAACTGCATCAACTCCAATCACCTTAGCTGTGTCAAGATAACTTGACACATTCCTGAGATTTTTAGCAGTGAACTCAGCCTGACGCACAACATAATCCAGAGTGTTTGAGGTGCTGGTGTAAAACTTCCCCTGACCAGTGTAAAGGATAATGCATCCAGCTCTGAAATCATTAAAATCACATGCAAAAGGATTCACAAAAACAAAAAAAGCATCAAACAAGATTCGATTTGAGGAGATGGTGGGAGGGAGAGAGAGAGACATTGCCGCAAGGGTGAAAAGGATGAGAAAGATGAGGGACAAAGCATAGGCTACTCGAGAATAGCCATAAGGCTCTGTAGGACAACAGCAGTAACACAGACAAATGAGGGATAAGCAAAGCCCAAAAATCACGAACCAAGCTGCAGCAATGACAAAGAAGGGGACCGCAGTAAAAGTTACTGACTGCACGAGGGTAAGAACAAGTTAAAGTTAGTAATGCATTAGATATTTAGAATATCTGGCAGCCTACCTAGGCAACAAGAGGAAAGATTAAAAGCTAATCTAGGCAACATTCTAAATTATACATAAGGCAACATTACATTCATATGACCAAATTTTGGTCTGGAATTTAAGGAGCTCACCTCGCATTGTGCGCATTTGCATATTAGTAAGAAGAACCAAGAGCATACAGAATGAACAACTAAAGCTAGAGCAGATAACAGAGTGCTATCAATTTCAAAACATAATTCTCCGTTTCTTTTATTAATATAAGCGAAATACACACACACACACACACACACACACACACACACATATCTGTGCGTGTGTGTGTGATCACCCTTAGCAAGAGAGAGATGCCAAAAGTACATGAACAGCGAAATTCCCGGGAAAAAAGAGAAAGAAAGAAACTAACGGCGTAATAATGCGGATTGCTGATATTCCAACCACCATTGTAAAGATTAAAATGGTCGAGCGGATCTTTCCGACGAGTTCTTTCCTGAGCCAACACGAGAGACCTTTTGGCCGCAGTTTCGTCGGCCAGTGGTCTCCTCGTATCCCATGGCAGCTCCACATTATACGGTCTTAAGCTCACCACATCATCCACGCCATCTAAAAACCACAGTCTCGCACATTATAAACAAATAAATTAGAATAAATTATTGTAAACAACAAATAGAAAGCAAACGAAGAATTTTACCGGGAATAAGAGAATGCAAAGAAGAACTCGGCGAGGCAGAAATGAATAACACGAAGAGAAATAGAAAGAAGAAGAGACGACGAAGAAAACAGGAATTTGATCTCAAGCATATCATATTGTATCAATGCTTGTGTTTCCGTTCACAGTTCACATGGGCACTGGTAGAGAGAGAGAGAGAGAGGGGGACGAAGAAGAGAGAGTGAAAATGGTAGGTGCTTGGCTTTATTTTCAGGTGAGATTTTGCGCGTTCAATTTCATGATTTGCGTTTTTGAAAGCGGTTGACCTTTTATACTTTGTTTGTCCGCAACAATTTTGTGTGACGAAAATACCCTTTAATTCCAGATACTCTACCGCTACGTCGGATGATGACAAGGCAGCCCACAATACAGTGCTTCTGTCTGTTGAAATGACCATTTTATCCAGCCTTCAAGCCCGATGGTTAATACTACCTCCGGTCCTAATTATAAGACCCGGTTGACTTATTTGAGGAGATTAAAGAAGTAAGTTAAGTTAGTTATTTGTAATAAATAAGTGTTGTCATTCCTAAAATATCCTTACTAATTAAGTATATTGGCTAGAACTATCATTATTAGAAGGATTATTTTGGAAAAAAATGCATAAATATGAGAGACAAAATGGATTGGGGTCTTATAATTAGGATCAAACAAAAAGTCAAATGGGGTCTTATAATAAGGACCGAAGGTAGTAATACTCTTCCTGTCCTTAATATAGAACATAATTATTGAGTTGGTTGTGGTTCTAAATATAAGACTCATTTTTCATATTTATCAGTTTTCTCTAAATTACCCCTATGGATACTCCCTCAAACATAATCAAGTAGAAGAGGGAGAGGGGGTATTAAGAAAGATGATTATGATGTTTTAGGAAAAACATGTCACATTTCTTATAATTAACTAACTTACCTAACTTTCTTAATATAATCAAATTACTTAAATGGGTCTTATATTAAGAATCGACTGAGTAATTTAGTACTAATCTTGTTACAAGGCAATATTCTATTTCTTACTGAAGTTGACAGATTGTAATTGTAAATATTTTAAAATATATAGCTATGTAAAAATGTTAATGTGAAATAAAGTAAAATAATTTACACATCACAATAAATTAATATGAAATATATCACAACAGAATTCAACAAACAATTTGAATTCAAACTTACTACTCCTCCGGTCCTAATTATAAGACCCAATTGACTTATTTGAGGAGATTAAGGAAGTAAGTTAAGTTGGTTATTTATAATAAATAAGTGTTGTTATTCCTAAAATATCCTTGCTAATTAAGTATATTGGCTAAAACTATCATTATTAGAAGGATTATCTTGGGAAAAAATGCATAAATATAAGAGACAAAATGGATTGGGTCTTATAATTAGGACCAAATAAAAAGTCAAATTGGGTCTTATAATAAGGACCAGAGGAGTAATATCATTTAGGCAAACAAATTAATAATAACTTGTAACCGATTTGAGCGTTAGCCACGTTAATACACTCTTTCCTTGCTTCTATGCAACCAATTTAGAGCGTTAGCCTAAAAACAAACAAGGAAAAAATGGTTTGACCGCAAACGCACATCTAACCCAAATCTCGTATGTTTTTATTTTAGGAAAAATTTCTAAAAAAATTCTCATTAAAATATTTATTACCAAAAGGTATCTGAAATTTGTTTAAAAATACATATTCTTGAGTGGATGTAACTCTTTTTCAGTCATATGTAACATATTTTTAATTTTTATATAGTCGAAGATATGTCACACTAAACAAGAGTTGTATTCACTAAGGATGAATCACACATTTTATTTCAAAAGCAAAATATAAAATATTTGTATATAACTAAAAATATGTTGCACACAGTTAAAAAAAAAATTGTTACCACTAAGGACTATTTGTACTTGTACTCAAGGAGTCAGTATTTAAACAGTTTTTAGGATCTCTTAGCAACAAATACTTCTAATAGGAAATTTTTTTATAGCAAATTTCACTTTATTTTATTAGTTTTGTATAGACTAATTTTGACTATAATACTAATCAGAGTTATAGTGAGTTATAAACGGGTTCATCTTTTAAAATTTTTGAAAACTATATCGACCTTAATAATTATTATTAAGGAGAAAGAAATTTGTTAATGATATAAACTCATTGTATTTCTATTCAAATTACTTGATATATTAAAGCATATTTTTTATTCAATTTAGATAAGTAAATTATAATGCATATAAAGTGAATTGCAAACTTTAGGAACTTTTATAGATAAGTAAAACCGAAGATTTAGGTATAAGAAAGTATAATTTCACCCACCTCTCCGTACTATTCTTCATGCTCAAGCAAAGATTTACATAAATCCCGGTGTGTGATAGTTTATGAAAACGACCGGAGCTTGATCTCCTACTCTTTACGCTTAATTTTTGTTCATTATTTTTAAGTCAGGTTTATTTTGGGAAGCATTCTGATTTGCCTTTATTTTTATATGCTACCTCCGGTCCTAATTATAAGAGTTAGTTGACTAATTTGAAGATATTAAGAAAAGAAATTAAGTTAGTTATTTGTAATAAATATATGTTGTCTTATCTAGAATATCCTTGTTAATTAAGTATATTGGCAATAACTATCATTATTAGGAGGCCTATCTTGGAAAAAAAATACATAAATATGAAAGACAAAATAGATTGGGGTCTTATTTTAGGAACAAAATGAAAATGAAATAAGGTTTTATATTAAGGACCAGAGGTAGTATTTATTATCAATCTTTTATTAAAATTACAATATGGGCAGAATGTTCTCTAAAACATGTAACAATTATTTAATATTAAATTATAAAACATACAACTACTTGTAAAAAATTACATATTAATCATGTTATCATTAAAATATTAAAATATTATAATAAGTTAAATTAATTCACAAATCTTATAATTTCTTGGATGTAACTCTTCCCTATTTCTAATTTACCCTGAATTTATATGTGATGTGTGATCGTATGGACAGTTTTTTTCCCCTCCCCGAAGAAAAATCTATGTGCGTATGAGCCTGTGGGATTCAAAATCAGACTCCAGTGAAATGGACTTTCTTCCTTTATGATGGGAGTGGGATTAATTTTTAGTTTTGGATTTTATTCTGCAGTTAAGTAAAAGACATGGGGAAAACAAAGAAATTGCGAGATCCAAAATGGTGCACCTTTTTAGTCGAAGATTGAAGATTGGAAAGTAAATTTTTATCTAAAATACTTCCCAATTATTAATGTAAAACCTAATTATAAAATTAATCTTAATCCAAAATATAAGACATATTTTTCATATTTATTAATTTTTCTTAAATTAGAAAAAACATGTTATATTTATTATAATTAACTAACATACCTAACTTTCTTAATCTAATCAAATTAGTTAAACAGGTTTTACATTAATAACGAAACAAGTATTATTTATCATCACATCTGTGGCCAACTCTCAATATATCAATTAGCCATTAGCGTGACTCAATAAACAGTCACACTATGGAAACATCTATTATAAGATGATGTACTTTTTCACTAAACATAGACATGGATATATGATATGAATATTGATGCTTTTTACTCGGTGAAACTTATCATGTGGTTTACGTTATGATCTTTGCATTTTCTAATTTATTTACAAAAAAGGAGGATAACAAACAAAGCAAATATACGCCAGAGAGGATAAGAAACTGAAGAGTAAGAGTCAGTTTGAAATGGATGAACGCTGTGTTTTAAGGTTTCTGAGCAGAAAACATAATGAAGGACTGCTGAATTTTGCGGGAGTAATTGGTGAGACCACATGATGTGCAAAGGTCTTCTATCTCTTCCTCTGTCAAATAACTATAGCCCTGCAGAATTCTCTGCATATCAGAATACCTTCATATCATCTTCCATGGGATTTACTAGAAAAACCCAGTAAATTGTACAACACATTCAAATCACTCATCAATAAAACCTGGGTATATAAGTAAGGCCCAAGAGAGTGTCTTATATCAGCAAGTTTGAATGCATCTTTTTAACTTTGTATACCTCTTCTTTAGTCTCATTTTATCCTATCTAAAGTTTGGATACACACACACACACACACACACACAGGAGAAATGAAGGCTTTCTAGTTAATACTCAACCACCATGTTTTCAAGTTCCTTTACTGTCGAAGGTTTTGAAGGGGATATTAACTCATTTACTAGTGTCATTTGCTATTTTATTTTCCTTTATTCTTTACCTCCGTTCTTCCTCCTAGCTTCTAAACATTCAGATGATCAAATACTAGGAGTCTCTCCGGATGATGACTTGATCCACACAAGAATGGAATCTAGTTCATAAGAACAATCGGTGTGTAAAATGGTAGTAACACTGTCGTCCACTATGACAACGCCATTAAAGATTAAACTATGATAAAGTTTACCTCTCGGAGAGGCCGTATAATCCAGGGAGTTGATGAAGTGTAACGAAGAAAAGTGCTTCCCACAAAAACTCCACCACTTCTTAGTATGCGGGTGATTTCAGCAATCTTAAACAAGTTACAAGTAGCAGTGTTATAATGCAAATTACATATATTTGAATGGCGTGGCACAAAGGGAACAGAAGACGATGCAAAGCACATTTAGTGAAAGTAACTATGTTCACATTAGAAAGAAGCAAAATTCATAGTGTTCCTTGTGATTAGTTCTGTTTGAGACATAAAGCAAGAAAACAGAGTGAGGGTAAAGGGTTCCGGATTTGAGATGAGGAGCAGTGCACAACACATTTGTGCGAAGGTCATAATGGAAAAGGCAGCAATGAACGTGTCAAGTTCATCATACACAGAAAGACACTTACAGCATTGGAGGGAGATGGCCAACAATGCACGGCTGCACCAGCATGAACAGCATCAACTGAACCTGAAGAGAAGGGAAGCCTAGAAACATCTGCCCTTACCAGAGCAAGATTACTGCCAACAATCAAATGAAACTAGATTCAGGACAGCCATATTTCCTTACACAAGTTTAAACCAAAAGGAAAAACAGAGAGAGAGAGAGAGAGAATTAAAAAAGTTGAATTTCTGAGATGCATCAAGTTTGGTTTCAAGCTGAGGGCAACGAACATCATACCTGGTTAAAAGAGTGTCATCTTGCTTGATGAAATTGTAACACTGGCGAAGCATATTTTCAGAAAAATCTAGAGCAATGACACCAGAATAGACTCC